CTGACACCAGTGATGGGGCACTATTCCTCCCACTGACACCAATGATGGGGCACTATTCCTCCCAGTAATACCAATGATGGAGCACTATTCCTCCTCCTTCTGACCACAAACCTTGTGGCTATGTTTATTCTCACTGATGCTGGACACTGGATATTTTCTACCTCAACTGGCCACAATCCGGCCCCCTAAAGTCTAAAGGACAGTATACTGGCCCTTTTGTTGAAAAGTTTGGAGATCCCTGATTTAGGGGGTCACCTAAGCTGTCTACAATGGGCTGAGCTCAATGCACTCATTGTCCTCCATCCCATCTATTACTTCCAGTGTGCATTTAACAGTTGTCCATCTCTGTACATTTGCACTTGGTAATTATTATTATACAGGATTTATATCACGCCAACAGTTTGCACAGCGCTTTACAATATAAGGGAGACAATACAATTATAATACATTTCAGTACAGAAGGAATAGGAAGGCCATGGAGCTTACAATCTAAGGAAGGGGGAGGTGATACAAAAGGCGATAGCTGTGGGGGATGATCTGATAGAGATGACTCAAGTACAGTTCTTAGCTGGAGCTGGGGTTAGTCTTCCCTGAATAAGTGAGTTTTCAAAGATCGCCTAAAGGCGGACAGGGTGGGAGGCTCAACAGACATACTGGGGAAGGGAGTTCCAGAGGATGGGAGAGGTTCTGGAGAAGTCCTGCAGGTGAACATGGGAGAAGGCGACAAGGGAGCTAGAGAGAAGGATGTCTTGGGAGGACGATTTGGACAATATCTGTGGATGAGCTTAGTGATGTAGCTAGGGGCAGTGCTGTGGATGGCTTTGTATGTTGTGGTTAGCAGTTTGAATTTTATACATTGGGCTAGTGGAAGTCAGTGAAGCAATTGGCAGAGAGGGGTAGCATTTGCTGATTGGTTGGTATTGTGTATGAGTCTAGCAGCAGCATTCATAATAGACTGAAGGGGGGATAGCCTGTGTAACGGTAGGCCAGTTAGGAGGAGTTGCAGTAATCAAGGCGGGATATAATCAAGGCATGGATAAGTTGTTTTGTGGTGTTGATAGGAAGGGGAGAATTCTAGAAATGCTGCAAAGGTTGAAGCAGCAGGTTTTAGCCAGTAATTGGATATGAGGCCCGAAGGAGAGGTCAGATTTTAGGTTTACGCCTAGCCTCAGTAGATTTGTGATACTTGAGTAGATTGAGGGGTGAGAGATAGACTTGGATGTTGTCAGCATAGAGGTGGAATTGGAAGCCATGGGAGGTTATCAATTGGCCCAGGGAGAAGGTGTAGAGAGAGAAGAGGAGGGACCCAAGGACAGAGCCTTGGGGTACCCCAACAGAAAGAGGAAGAGGAGCGGAGGAGTTGGTGTTGTATTAATTAGTTGTATTGTAAACCACCACGCAAGGCACCTGAGCAGAAACAAGTCCTAATGGGACAAAAACAGCCTGATCAAAACCATTGCAAGAAAGGCTCAGATGGCCTGATGAGCTGAACTTCAGGCAAAAAAAAACGAAACCTACAAGTAAAATATGTACATCCATGAACAATTTTATCTGCCAAAGGGTCGTAATTCCATTCAGGTGGCCTTGTGCTCCGATTACCCCAGCCAGAGGGCACAGCTACATTCTGGACTTTCATGTGGCTCGTACTCTAGCTAAGACATAGGCAGAGGAATCCAAAAAAGCCTTTTAGAACACTTCTTTTGTTCCCTCTACAACTACATTAGCCTAATTCAGGCAAAAGCATTTACCTCATTATCACCAAGGGTGACCAATTCAGGTTTTTGCTAAGTATCACCACTTGAAGAAACTGTCGCTATGGCAGTGACAGATCCTTAAAAGAATGACTGCCCATTCGCAGCTTAATTAAGGCCACCTCTGAGCTTGCGTACAGTACTCAACGGGCCTTGTCTGTGCTGGGAAGATGTCATGAATGTGACAGTTTTCTGCGCAGGGCCCTATGCCTGGACCCCATTCAGCTATTGGCTGGAAGATTCCTGGGCAGAAAGCTAAATGTAAACAAAGAGGCCAGGGATAGTGATGATGTCATACCCTAACTTTTTGGAAAATGATTTGTGAGCCTGATAGGTAACTGAGAGTCTAGTTCCCCATCAGGCTTGCCTTAGTTATGATTGATCTTGCATAGCCTCTGTTGGACTGAATAGCGGCTATGACTCTGCTCACTTCTGTGCGCTGTCAATCAACAGCCAGGTGGACCTGATGGGGAACTAGACTCTCAGTTTTCTATCAGACTCCGCCCACTCATACTACAAAACACCTCAGTCACATGTCTGTCAGTGTAATGGGACAGTGACCGGGGAGGGTGGGAGCGCACTGTGGAATGGGCCCCAAGCATCAACAATTTCAGTGGCTGATTCAACTCCCAAGGGTGTCTATGACACCGTTTGTGAATACCCCCCATAGTCAGAAGTTAGAGCAGTCTTGTGACTTCAGGAGAGCACTGGTTAAAGCTTGTAGGAGTTTTATTTCTGCTCTAGGAGGATGTGAAACCCCTGACCCTCTGTCTGGACAGTGCTGATTGGCCCTGTGATGATCACAAGCACTCGCCCAAGAAAAAAAAAAACTCTCTAGCAATACACACCAAACTGAGCATGTGCATGTGACCACGGGTTCAGTCTGTATCAGGTGGTCATTTCAACAAGAGGAGGGGTAGAGAAGACAGGATCAAACAGCCTTTTTACACAATGCAGAGGATTAACCCCTTAGGTCCCACAGTGAGTATAACAAGCATGCATGTACTGCATATACAGACTGATTGTACTGTTGTGGGTTTAGTAACACTTTAAGTTACAAATTTTAATGCTGGTTTTCAAGCTATTTATGGACTTTAGAACTAGTACATGACACACGAGTCAGCGAAGGGCTGCTTCAATCCAAGCCTTATCACACAGGTGGAATGAATAGTCGCTATAGTTCTTTAGGCTCTTTATTCTTTAGGCTCAACCGTAAGTTGCTTTGGGGACAAGAACTGATGGTTTAATGTCCTCTGTAAAGTGCTGCGAAAAAAAAAAGGTGTCAGCGCTATATAAATGAGTAAAATAAATAAATAAAATGGTCAATTAATTTGCCATCATAAAGCGCACCGCCACAGAAACGACTTCGGCTGGTTTAAAGAGCGTATTGCCTATTCTGTACGAAATGTCACTGGCATCAATTGTGAGCTGCTGCCAGAAGATTATCAGCCTAACTAAAGAGGTAGAAATATTAAATGTAAAAGCGGGCAGCTTCAATTTACAATGGAAAGTGTTAATTTGACCTTCTTTAGAAGCTCTGCCCGTTATTCTCCATTCACTCTGCATCAGCCTAGAATGTAACAGAGAAAGACACACAATCCCCACCCAACTGTTTTCCTGTAAACGCTACAGATCCTCAATCTTCCGATCTATAAAGGGTTCTGGAATACTTGGCGGTAATTAGTCTGTTTCGGGACTGTGAGGATTTTGTCATATGTGTTAACCCACAACAAGCCACTGCAGTCAAAAGAAGCTTCCAGATTTAAATGGATGATGCTGAGGCAGGAATAGGAGAGTTGCTTATTGACCTGAAGCAAGTATCTGCATGCCCATGCCTCCCGACACTTCACTGGATGCATGCTGGTTCCAGGTCAGTGATTACATAATGAATCAAGAAAAAGGATGACAGCAGCCGAGCTTTACCTGCAGGTCAGCGATGGTGGATCAAATGCATCTCTTATGACAGGTTCCTTTAATTGAATGTAATATGGGCAGCACAGTGGCTAAATGGTTAGCATTTCCACCTGGCAGTACTAGGGTCACTGGTTTGAATCCCAACCACGACACCACCTGCCTGGAGTTTGCATGTTCTCCCTGTGCCTGCGTAGGTTTCCTCTGGGTACTCCAGTTTCCTCCCACACTCCAAAGACATGCTGGGAGGTTAACTGGCTCCTGTCTAAAATTGGACCTAGTATGTGTATGTATGAATGTGAGTTAGGGACCTTAGATTGTACACCCCTTGAGGGTTAGGGACCTTAGATTGTATGCCCCTTGAGGGTTAGGGACCTTAGATTGTACACCCCTTGAGGGTTAGGGACCTTAGATTGTACACCCCTTGAGGGTTAGGGACCTTAGATTGTACTCCCCTTGAGGGTTAGGGACCTTAGATTGTACACCCCTTGAGGGTTAGGGACTGATGTGAATGTGCAATATATATGTAAAGTGCTGTGTAAATTGATGGTGCTATATAAGTACCTGAAATAAATAATATTGAGACTTAAAGAAATAATCCATTATTTGCCTTGCTGTATTTTCACAACTGGCATGTCCATTACCTTATAATGCCTCAGCCCTACCAAAAAATGCAGCCACTTTCAGGTGTGTGCATTCTTATTGACATTGATAGGTCCTCCACCATTTGTTATTTGCATTTTATCCTATATACACATGGATATCAATATTATTATCATCAATATTCAGATTGTGGACATTGGAGGACTATACTTTTATGGGCACTATTACTATGGATATACCACTTCCCACCTCACAGTGATAGGGCTCAGTGGCTGGGCAGCCTTTGTTGGGCTCCACCACAGCCCACCCCCATGTGGAGGGGGGGAGGTGTTGAATTTCACATCATTTTCTCCCCTATATATGGGTCATTATCATGACTAGTAGCTTTAGCTCTGAGGAAGGGAGTTGACTCCCGAAACACATTAGCACATTTCACTGAAGGACTCCCGCTCTCTGGGACTTAAGTCTTTGGTTCTTTGCATCTGCTTTTAATATCTTTGGTTTGTGAGTATGTATTTGTCATTTTACAATAAATTCCTTTTATCACGCTAATGCACGAGGAGAGTGTGCCCCCTTTTTTTGTGTTCTTTTGTTAACCTCTGTACAAAACATGAAACAATCCCAGGAGGGAAATTAAAGAAAAACACCCAACAAAACATAACTCTATGTGGTCTGCAAAAGTCTAAAACAGTGTTTCTCAGCCTTTTTTCAGTCAAGGTACCCTTTAAAATTGTGGATAATGTCAAGACACCCTCTAAAATTATGAACAGTCCCGAGACACCCTCTATAATTACGAACAGTCCCAAGACACCCTCTAAAATTACGAACAGTTCCAAGACACCCTCTAAAATTATGAACAGTCCCAAGACACCCTCTAAAATTACGAACAGTTCCAAGACACCCTCTAAAATTACGAACAGTCCCAAGACACCCTCTAAAATTATGAACAGTTCCAAGACACCCTCTAAAATTATGAACAGTCCCAAGACACCCTCTAAAATTACGTACAGTCCCAAGACACCCTATAAAATTACGAACAGTCCCAAGACCACACTCTAAAATTATGAATAGTCCCAAGACACCCTTTAAAATTATGAACAGTCCCAAGACACCCTCTAAAATTATGGACAGTCTGAGGCACCCTCTAAAATTATGGGCAGTCTTGAGGCACCCTCTAAAATTATGAACAGTCCCAAGACACCCTCTAAAATTATGAACAGTTGCAAGACACCCTCTAAAATTATGAACAGTCCTGAGACACCCTCTAAAATTATGAACAGTCCCAAGACACCCTCTAATATTATGAACAGTTGCAAGACACCCTCTAAAATTATGAACAGTCCCAAGACACCCTATAAAATTATGGACAGTCTTGAGGCACCCCATTCTAAAATGTAAAAAACTATTCTAATAGTTGATAACAGTTCAATAGTTTGACATCCTCCTTATCAACTGTTGTCATGGGTTGTCAGGACGCCGACGGCTAGAAGGTCATAATGGTGCACAATGATAACCTGTGGTTTAGCGAAACTAAAAGGCAAGCGTGTTCCACCCGCTGGCTTGTATACATGTTTTGGTCAATTTTAAGCCATTTTGCCAAGGCACCCCTGAAGAAACCTCAAGGCACCCCAGGGTGTCTGGGCATCCTGGCTGAAAAAGGCTGGTCAAAAACAGAATCCCAGTTAGCAAATATGGAATCTTATGAGAGACAGAGGAAAAAGTCTAAAACCGTGTGAAAGGTTTGGTTATACTGGTGGGATTCACAAACATGTTTATATTGCATTCACTGAAACTTTATTGAGAGGTGGAATTACACTTTAAAAAGGTATCCCAAACTGCAATAATCCCCAGCACCTGAATATTAGGTCTCACATTGTCATAACCTATAACAATGGATAGTATCCCCTATATTTAGCTTTACTTACTTTGCCTGAAACTGACACTGCTTGAAAGTCAAGGGTTGGAGGTCTATAAAAATGGACATATGCTTCCCTATCAACTTCCCAACAATTTCCCAACTGCAGAGTACATAACAGTGTAAAAAACAGGGTTCTTTAGTTAGGAGGTATATAAACAACTACATGGCTCTGTTATAACAAAGTCATGTACTGTCAAGGACTGGGACACAGCGGGAGAATTTGAAAAGTTAAAATCAGATGTTCAATGACCCTGACCCTTGAAGTGTCTGTGGCTTAATGTGTAAGCCCTAAAGCTAGATTTGCCTATGCATTGCTTCATACATCACTGTGTACATTTTTAGTGAAGCAAATTATTTTTTATTGGTTTGCTACCAGTAGAACCTGCCAGTGTTAGCATATGTAAATCACGCCCTGTTGCACCTTGCTAGGATTCCTCCTAACAATTATAAGCAATGCTGTCAGCCTGCCACTTTGGCTCCGTCAGTGGGGACTACTCCACGAGTCGGCAAGACACAAAGCTCTTTGTGCACCACCCTCTTCAACTTGACTGATTAAATAGAACTATAGGCACAATTTTTTTTTTTTTGGATAGAGTAAGGGAGGGTTATGATCCCTGTCTGTTTATTTTTGTCAACTGTATCCCATTGAGAAGGTTTTCCTCCACTTCCTGCCCCAACAAGAAAACAAAAACAAGAAGTAAGAGGAAATCCCTCCAAAGTGCGCAAGTTCCTGGTTGTCATCAGAGTTAGTGCCTCCATTGGAAGAGTACCCCTCTATTCCTGTTCTGGGGACAACCAAAAATTAGGGATTTTTTATTATTGTGAGTGATAACAGTCTCTAGGACAAATAGATAACATTAATCTCCCTAATGGAGACACAGCCAGCAATAAAAACCTGAAAAGTATTATAAGCCCTCTCTACTCTATCCAAAATTAAAAAAAAAAAAACGAAACAATTAACTTTAGTTATTCTCTAAAGTTTATTGTTCTGCAGGTATTTTACATTTAAGAGGTTTACAGTGCCAAGTTATCCACTTGCACTTGGAGGTAAACCCAATCCTACATGGTATGCATAGTCCCAGACACCCTGCCTACGTCAGAGGAGCTTTGTACTACTCTTGGGAGCAGTCCAAGGCAGGAAGAACATGCATTGTGTAAGATTTGAAAGTAAAAATATAGTAAGTTTTAAGAAGTAAAACTTCAGATATAGCCCTTTAAAGCATAACTAGAGGCAAAACGTTTGAAATATTTTTACATTTTGGATAGAGTGGAGAGGGATTAGAATACCTGTCAGTTTTCAATGCTGTCTATGTCCCTGTTAGGGGGATTCTCTTTTTACCCTACTGTTATCATTGAAACTGAAAGGAAGAAAATTAAAAATGTTGTTCTTTTCCCAAGGGACAGAGGCATAGAGGGGGAAATCTTCTAATGGGGACACTAATTCTGGTGACCCCGGTGACACCCTGGGATTCCCTCACTTTGGAGGGACTTCCCCCCACTTCCTGTTTTGGCTATGGGACAGGAAGTGAAGGATAATCTCCCCAATTGGACCCTTCTTTACTCTATCCAAATGAAAAACAAAACAAAGGTTTTTCCTATAATTGTACTTTTACGTAGCTGTTTTAATGATAAATATTTAGGGTTAAATATTCCGATTTTTGCAAAAAGTGCAGTCGTGTTGGGTTATCTTTAAGCCAAACCTGGTACTAGCACCGGCTAGACCAGTACATCTCTATCAGAGTGCCTGCCATTTGGCGAGCTCTGCAGGAAAATGGGATGAAACATGGGCTAGTGTGATTAATGTTCAAGCAATGTCCACTCAAGCATTGAGGCAGTAATAAAGGTATTAATTTGGCTGCAAACATTAAAATATGTACAGTAAGATGGATTTGAGAACAGTGCAGTGTGGAATAACCCTAATGTGGGGCATTAAACTCATTTATTACAATGAATAAATAGAGTAATGAGATTGGAAACATCGAGAAGGCGCCCAGTAGCAGCTGATGAATTGACCCGTGCGCAATCGCCATCAATGAATATAAATTAGGAGCCGGATAGACTTTTACAACACTGCACCCTCGCACAGAGGTTCCTTACACAAATATTTAAACAACTGTTTATTGGGAGAAAGAAACAAAATAGAGTTTGATTTGTGGAGTTCGTTCCAAGTGATTAGTGAGAGCAAAAAGCTAATAAAACATTATGACTAAATCGGAAAAAAGTAAAAATGACATACAAGGACCAATGTAGAAAACAAAGGCATTATTATACAGGATATAACTCAGTTTCATCCATTATGTATTCAGTATTTATGTAGTACCAGTTTACTCTGCGGTGATCTGAAGCTGAGTTTTTCAATTTCATTAAAGAATATACTCCATAAAAGCCGCTGATTACTAAGATCTTCTTGTCATGGTTCGCCATATCTCAAGTACCCCTTGACATTTATTACCGGTACCCTCCAAACCTAACAGAAATTCTTCCTAAACAATACCTTTGTGCATTTAAAAGCATCCAAAAACAAGAATATATTGTATATAAACTGTATTATTCATTAATTGACTCAGCCTTTCCCAACCCTTTCACCCCAGAGGAACACCTAAACAAATGTTCAGGTCTCGAGGAACTTCTAATATAAAACCAAATCATCACAAGTCGTGAGGAAAATGCCCCTTACATTGGTGGTCAGCTGGAGGAATGCAACCCTTATAGTGGAGACCATAATGTCACTCTTGCAGACAGCTAAAAGGATAATTGGGTTTTTCTGCTGGTTTTCCCAAGTAGCATTGGCCTTGGAGCTATGCAGGCTTCATCAGATGTTAGGTCAATCAGCCACAACTCAAGGAACACCTAGACAATTCTGGAGGAACCCAAAAGGTTCAATGGAACTCTGGTTGGGATTGGTTGCTCTATATGATTAATTTAAAAAGCAGAAGTGCCCCCTGGTGTATACATAGCATACATAATTAACCCCTTCCCATCGCTGCCTCTCTGCCCTTTAAGATCTAAATGCTGGGAGGTGGATGCGGGCATTCTGATCATGTGACCATTGTCAAGTATTCATTGAGAGCTTTCCATGACACTTTAGTTAGTAGGCTGGGAGTGCACAGTGAGCGCGCTTTCAACACAGTTTCCCTATAGACACATATATGCGGCTGCTCGGGATTAAAGCCCAACCATCAAGAGGCCGCATGTCTGCAGCCAGCCAGTGGGAAGTAGTTAGGAACTGAGTGGCAAAACTGTTGACAACAGTGCTTCGTACATTAAGGGCCCATTTACTCTATCTTTTTGCAGTAAAATATAGATTTTTGCAGTGCTCATTACCGCATGGTTATATGTGTGCTCAAGTTCTATTTATTCTGGAATATCAAAATACATATATAGTAAAGAAAATGTAGCTGCACTGTAACACACCATGGTATGATTTTTGTGCACTGATGTGTGTTGATAGCCAATTTCTACATGAATGGGTGGCCTTAACACGAACCCACAGAGCATGAAAATACCTGTGTTAATGCAACGTGTGATGTAAATTGGCCCCAAATCTTATAATTATAATAACATTAAGGCATTCACACATTATCCAGGAAAAAAATTAAGATTTGTATACATTAGTGCCGCCATATTCCAATTCTCCGTTGAAAATGTGTGATTAAAGGATGAGGATCTGTATAGCAGGGGAGGCATTTTTAGTGAAAGTCCCCTAATACATGGAAGACTAATTATGTTTCAGAGAGAGGGTACTGTTTTATTACGGTTTCATGACAGTTTACATTTTGGGGTTGTATTTGAGATGTGCAAAGAGAGATCACACAGACACTTTTAGGTATAACATTTAATTAATGACAGATACAAATAACAAATGTAATAATATTACAAAATATAACAAGAATACTTAAATAAAGATGCCTTTTCACCACTGAGTCCTGGCCACTTGTGCGGTGCAGCACAGACAATCAGACCAGATGCATGCGTGATGCAGCTCTAGAGACAATACTGAATATTCCAAGTTATAGCTGTAGTATATAGGACTTGTGTAATGGCCAACCCCTGAACCAACAGCCCTTGCAGGCAACATGACCTTTTAAGGACTTGGTCAGTTTGTAATGACATTCCTTTGGTAGGAAATCAGCTAAGGTAACCAGGATTTTGGAGGCATTCTTAGATATTGTGAGACGACTTTAATAAGAAAATATGAAATTTCCCCATCAGATACTGATTGCACTTATTGTACCCCTGTATGAGCGGTGGACATCAACCCCATAAATACCATAGTTTAAATGTGGGTATTCATCATCAGCCCTAACCTTAGGCAAAGAGGCTTGGGTTATACGTACTTGTACTTACCGTAGCGTATCCCTGTACCCTAGTTGTGGGCATTAACCCCATATATTATTGTACTTGATATCTGTGAACATTCATTAATAGGCCATTCATTATTAAGCCCTTTTTTAAGGGACATGAATACTATGGGCGGTATTTACTAAAACTGGATCATGCAAAATCTGGTGCAGCTCTGCAGAGAAACCAATCAGCTTCCAGGTTTTATTGTCCAAGCTTAACTGAACAAGCTGAAGTTAGAAGATGATT